CAGGTTAATCCGGGAAACCTGTCTCCTGTGCATACATGTAACATTGCATCAAACAGACAACTGACTTATGGATAGATTCGAGCATCAGGATGCACGGCCCTGACAGACCCGCCTCACTCTCCTGATCACAGCGAGGCATCCCGCGCCACCAGGATGCTCCAGCTTTCTTAGAAGTTCCTCCCGTAAAGCCAGACCAGTACACAAGAGATGTCGTCTAACGTTAACAGAAATATACGTTCACGGGAATGCCAACTTTGGAAAGACATTTCTCAGACCTGTTTTACATACATTAAGTAGAAAACACCAAGGTACCATCTTCCTCCAATCTCTAGAAACAAAGTTTGTACCTCCTGCCTGCAAATCCACATGGTACACAAGAACTGAAACTCCACCCACACATCCACCTGACACCTGAAAACACTGACTGGTGGTGTTAATACAAGAATTGATCTTTAAAGGTCCCTTCAACCCAAACCATTCAGTGATTCTATATTGGAAGTGTTCAAGGTCAGGTTGGATGGGGCTTTGAGTAACCTGGTCTATTGACAGATGCCCCTGTCCCACAGCAGTTCAGGTCCAAGTCCTCCACTTAGGACTTGTAACTGCTTGATTTTATATACAGTGTTCTGTGTGCTGTTACGCTTCCCTGTTCTGTGATGGGGTTATCAACAACACCTGGTGGGCCGGATGCCTGGGACCTTCAAGGCTGGCAAGGAAGGGAGTAATCATCCTGTCACCCAGGAATCTTGAGGCCAACAGGAAGGGTAGGAAGAAATCTGTTTGCTTCATCTACTTGGTGAACAGGACCTTCAGGGCCTGAGAATGAGGGGAAAGGGGACTAATATGTGACCCACTCAGGCACAGAGAATGGCTGCTTGCCTCCTAAAACGGCATTAGTTATGCTAAGCACATTACCAGGGGTTGGGAGCAGGGGGTACTGGTTACAATGAGGTACACCGTCAGTGAACTCTCTTCTTGCTCTTGCAGATTTAAAGCTGTGACAACTGCACAAAACATAAATAAGGCTTTATCCAGTTGGGTGTAATGACACTTGAGGTGTGCATGGACATCTGGTAGGCCTCCTCACCTTTATTTTTGCGAGGTAAAGAGTTTGCCTTGACTGATTGCAAACTTTTGTTGTTGTTGTTGATCAAACTTATCTTTAACCTTTCTTTTTTGTATAACCTCAGTGCAATAATGGGCTATGTGATTGAGAACACAGAGAAAGTGAATAGAGAAACATTATGCAACTCCTGAGGTCTCATTTCAGAATGGTTTTCAAGGGCACTACATTGAATTCCTGGAAAAAAACAAAATAAATACACATTGGTCATTAGGTCCCAAATAAATGATGGAGATCAGCTTCTGCACAATCACATTGTCATCAACTGCTGTCCTAATACAAAGGTTTGAGCAGCAGAGCTGGTTGCTGCAGGTGAACTGCTGGAGACTCAGTTTTGTTTGCTGCAGTGAAACTACAAGTAAGCCTTTACTCCTTGGAAGGGTTTTACACAAAGCTTCTGCTCTCAGGGCCATGCTGCACTGAAAGCTTACCTGGAAAAGCACCTTTCTGCAGAAGCAAAGCATTGAGGGAAAGGTAGTCTTGGAAATGAACTGCAGCAAAGAAACAGAACATGCTTGAGCCAACTAACCAAGTTTTACTTATTCTTTTCAAACGGCTGACTTACAAGACAGGAAACTTATGCTTTAATGCATACAGCAAGTAGTAATTATTTCTTCCAGACAGGAAGAAATAGAAGAGGAAACTGAACTAAGGCTTCTGCTTGATAATACATAAACTCTACTTTGTATCTGTAAATAAGCTGCATCGTATGGCAAACATATAATACAAGTTCCACAGTATCTGAAAGTTACTTTCATGTATCTCTTTTCCCTAGTAAAGATATCACTTTATAGTCTGGCAGCCTATATAACATCCATAAACCACCCAACATCTCTGCCTCCTGTCTTTCCACCACTTTCCACCACTTGCTGGTCTGGCAGCACCAGCTCACTACTTGGAATAAGAAAGGAAGACTTTCCAGCCCTCCAGGTGTCCATGCTACACCAAGCACAACAGATACAGCTCACAAAAAAACAGTTCACGAACGCTTCTGCATCACAGAAGATCCAGCTATTTGAAAAAATATCTGTAAAATGACTAAAGGATGCTCAGACAGCCAGAGGACACAAGGCGTAGTTTATGTAAACACGGTAGTTACAAGAGTCACCACGCTATGCCAGGCCCTGGAGATGAAGCACATGCAATGTTTCAGCTGTTACGAAAATTTCCTTCCCTAACTATTATATCAACCAGTCTTCATAGTGTCAGGGTGTATTAACTTTGTTAATATAAATATGTATTAGTTCACATGATATGCTGTAATGTGGTGAGGTAGTGGAGTTTTACTGGAGACTTTGGTTTTGTTCATGCTTAAGTAGAACAAACAAAAGGACAGCCCAGCCCTGGAAAGAAGGACTTTGCTTCTGGGAAGCTTAGAGCTGTTCATGAAGGATAAAGGATACCGTGGGTCAACTGAGATAACGCCGGCATCCTAGCCCCTCTGACACATCTTTGAAGCCGTCCCAGCATCATCCGGCATCATAGATCAGTAACCCTAGTAAGACTGACTCCAGGGACATGTGGATCAGCAGACAAGCAGCAAGAATGCTGCAAAAGTAGAGTTGCTTTGCAAAGTGTGATTGCCATTAGTAATCGGTAGTGTGGGTGGGAGTGATGAGTCAAGTCGTCTTGTACCTGAACAATTGAAGGGTATAAGAACCCGGTGTAAAGGCACATTTGGGCTGCCCCAATTGGGTTGGAACACGGCATAAATATTTGCCCTTGTAATTCCATATTTTGCGTCCTAGCCTCTTGCCTCGGTCAACACAGCCCAGTTGCAAATTTTCGTGACAGTTTGGTGTGTGAGTCAGCACAGGCAGAGCGCAGGAACAACCACAAAACCGCGAATAAAATGCGAAGAGTAAATTTATTTTCGTTACCTCGCCAACCAGGGGATCCCCGAAGCAGCACCTGGGCAGAGGCACACAAGTGGGGATGCAGGCACTGCGGAGCTCGGTCCATGCTAGAGGATCCCTGAACCTGCTGGTTTTGCCTGTTTTTCAGGGATTCGCGCAGGCATAGTTTACCTCTGTGCTTTGATCTTTCCCACAGCAGGCATCTGAAGGATGCCTCTGAAGTCTATCACAGGCCTATGTTATCTAAACCTAGATGTTCTACTTGTCAAACACACAAGGCTAAACAACAATTCATGTGATATATGTGTTTTTTTAGACCCCAACTGCAAGTCACTTGAGCGTGTTCGCAATCCTCCTTGCCAATTTTCCGTTATTATCCCACATTTGGTGACCCGGATGACACACAGCCAACTCACCTGACCCAACATCTCACCACCACCTGGACACCAACGATCTGCGCTGCTGGCTTGTGAGTGAGTTAATCTCAAGATACTTGGGTACAGGGTCATGAAGTGTGGATCTTGTTTGGCAGTAAGGAGGTGATTTTTTGTTATAACAGGAAGTGGACAAAGTATAATGAAGAGGTCCGTGACAGATGAATTATTGCTACACTGGAAATTTATTGATGGGATGGTGGAGTCATCAAAAGCTCTGTGTCAGGAAATGTGGCCAGAAGTGACCGCCTTTAGTGACATGTACCAAACACAGCCCCAGCCTGCTTCTTTTGATGGCATTAAGCTGAGCTATTTATGCCAGCAACTGGAAGATTGGTTCCCATCACAAATGGCCTATTGCTATAGCTGGGATAATTACTGGACTATTGGTGTACCAAGTATTAAAAAAAAAAAAATTCTCCTCCAGAGTGCAGAATAAGTAAAGATCTCTGAACGAACGGGAAAAATAAGAGCTCTTTACATTCTGGAACTTAAAAATATCAGACAGAAGTTTCCCCTTTCACTCAGAAATTGAGTAAAATCTCTGTCTGAACGGGAAAATCAGGGCTGTTCCACATCCAACTGCACCTGTCTATCCTACTGCTCTTTTTTCTGATTTTACTCTACTTTTCTGCTTCAGCTATTGCTACTGCTTCTGGTTTGCAAGCACCTCTCAGACAAGCAATTATAGGGCCGGGACTAGAACCGGGACAGCTTTCTGTAGGAACAGTCCACGTGCCCTTTCGCACCCGCTGATTTGGTTTTGGGGCAACAAGAAATGCCTAGACTGCAAGATGATCCAGAGAAGCTGGTATGAACTGTATCATAGAATCATAGAATCATCTGGGTTGGAAAAGACCTTTAAGATCATCAAGTCCAACCATAAACCTAACACTGCCAAGTCCACCACTCAACCATGTCCCTAAGCACCACATCTACATATCTTTTAAATACCTCC